AAAGTGGAGGGGCCAGGATGGAACCCCAGACCTCGTGACGGCCAGGAGCGCCCATCCTCACTCACAGGCAGGTGACTGATGTGACAGCAGGAGCGCTTACTCATTGGGAGGGGTCCGGACTCGGCACGACTCAGGTATTAGTTGTAAGGTCACCATGAGGCAGGTCAGAGGGTAGGACATGAGGCAGAGAACTCTGACCAAACGATGGTCAATAGGTACCTGGTCTGTGCACCATTGTATTAGTATATATAGTAGGGAGTCTGAGGCAGGGAACCTCAGACTTGATCTTCTCGTCGATTCCCCATCTCCTCTGTAGGTAGCTAGCAGCCCTACCTCCCTCACTACCCCTTCTAGTCTAGGGAATACATCTCTTCACATCTCTTGCTGTGTCACCTCTGGTTGCTTCGCTTCTCAGCACCAACCTCTGCATCAGTAAGCTTTGCCCTTGTTTGTTTTGGTGGCACAGCTCGTTGGCTGTGACAGCCGTCCACCTGAGGAATCCTCGACGTAGATGCCAATGCCGATATTGTATGGAATACTGCAACACTTGACAGGTGAGTGGCCGGATGACCAAAGACGAGAGATGGCGCTCATCTTAGTGCAGCGCGTATTACACCTTTCCACACGTATGCAGGGTATCAGTATAGTCGTCCTTGCCAAGCAGTGAGAAGTAAACGCACACCTGTCGTATGGCCTGGCTCAATGCACAAGATTGTTGCCTCGTCAAAGCCAGACCTGAAAGAAGACGGGCTGAACGACCGCACGTTGACTGAAAACACGTCCGCGGACGGGCCTGGTATCGACGTACAAGGAGAGAGCACCGGTAGGGAACCTGCAGACGGTGAAGGAGAGCGGTTCGTCGAGCAAGAAGAAGCAGCCTGGGCCGATGTTGTGGGGCGACCTTGTTCAAGTACCGTACGGTGCGTCAGCGGTGACAGTATTGGCCCAGTCAATCTTTGGGCATGTCGATGATGGGAGAGGAGAGGAGGGGGGCGATGACTGATCTGGGCACGCGCGCGGGCTTTTGAGAAGAAAAGACAAGGTGATTGACAGGTCATGACTTATGACCTCATGCATGCCAAACGTCCCCCCGTATTGAGACTGGCCACGATCTGCAGCCGTAGCCCTAACCCAAGGCTATTCTGCTCACGAGCGTCGGACACCGATTGTGCGGTGGACTTGCGAGTGACCTTGGACTTGGTCGATATCGTCAACCGTACGGACGCGGTACAAGCTGTTGGACGGTCAATGAAGACGCACACGTCTTCCGTGTCCTCCCCACACTACTTGGCGTTAGTTCAGAACGCGCTGTCTTTTATGCGGGGGACTTCTCGCTTGCTATCGTATTGGACTCAGCTCGAGGGGAACCCGACGCCGTTCTGGAAGTAGAAGGGCCTGCACCACCGTTGATGCAGTCCTTCCGGATGCTCGCGGTAGAAAGGCTACTTCGAGGTA